ATTCGATAGGTATTGATACAATACATTTCAGTTAAAATTTGTATTCTAGCATCAAAACTGTAGGAGCCACCGTTTTGGGCGGTTTGTGGGCGTTAGAGCGGGCGTGGCACTCTGCTGAAAAAAACTTGCGCTGCGCAGGAATCTCAGGAATATTTTTTACCTTAAAATGTACAAAATCATACATTTCAATAAAAAAAAATTTTTTAATCGCGTATTTTTAAGTTTTTTAAGCCTTTTCTTTGAGTGGTGCTATTTTTGTTGCCGCAAAACTTTGCCAATTTTTTTGGTAAACTTATCGAAATTTTAAAAACCATCCGCATTGTGGGCGTAATTTTAGTTTATTTATTTTGGTTAATAGATATGTAACCCTACTTACCCTTACAAACAGAATAAAAATATTGAAAAAAATGACCAATTGGCAGCACAAAGAAGAATTGCCTACACATTGGTGCTATTTTTTTGCCGCAGCTGTACATATACATACATATAAAAAAACGAATATTGGCTTACCTTAAGGTGTTTGTGCAGATTTCCTGTCGATTTATCATTGATTTTTATTGGTTTATTTAGGAACAACACGCACTTGCCGTCCGGCCTTAAAAACTTGGCATTTAATATTAATGGCAACTTTTTCTCAATTATATTTTCTTTTTCTCTTAATTTATATTTTGTTTTGCGCATATGTGAAAATTGCAATGCTAAGGTGACAAAACAAACATAAAATTAAGTATGGCCGAGTTTTGCTTATTTCAATGTCGCAGTCGGATTTAACTGTTTATTATCTGACGACATGAGTAGAAAACAAGGAAGAACGCTATAGTCGAGTACCTCGACTATCAGATACCCGTTACTCAGCTATATGGAGATATGCAAGCAGCAAAGCGAGATTAAAATGCGCCACCTTCCGGCGGTATACAGATTTAAGCGTTATGGGCGTTAGAGTGGGCGTGGAAAATTTGGATCAATCGATAGGTATCGACTAGACCAATACATTTCAGTTAAAATTTTTTATCTAGCATGAAAATTGTGGGCGTCACAAGTTTTCGCGGTTTGTGGGCGTTAAAGTGGGCGTGGCAAACTTTTTTTTGGGTCAATCGATAGGTATTGATGAGAACAATACATTTCAGTTAAAATTTTTATTCTAGCATCAAAACTGTAGGAGCCACAGTTTTGGGCGGTTTGTGGGCGTTAGAGTGGGCGTGGCACTGTGCCGAAACAAACTTGCGCTGCGTAAGAAGCTCAGGAATCTGCACGCCAAATCTCAATAGCCTAGCTCCCATAGTTTCCGAGATCTCAGCGTTCATCCGGACGGACAGACAGACGGACAGACGGACAGACGGACATGGCTACATCGACTCGGCTAGTGATCCTGATCAAGAATATATATACTTTGTGGGGTCGGAAACGCTTCCTTCTGCCTGTTACATACTTTCCGACGAATCTAGTATACCCTTTTACTCTACGAGTAACGGGTATAATAAAATGAAATGTAATGAAATGATGGTGTATTAAAATCTGTACCTAGGTAAGGAAAAATGTAGCCAATTATTTGTATACCTAGGTAAAGTAAAAGGTACCATTTAATTGTTTCCAGGTACCTACCTAGATACAAGTATATAGGTAAGTCCCAACACTGATCATTTTATTAGTCCGAACAATTCTTGAGTACTGCCCTCGTGTCTGAAGACCTTAATGCGGAGTACATATAGTCTGGATTGAGTCTGGACCAAGAACTTTTTAATATTTCCTTAAGGAAAATTACTGTAATATAACCCTGGTAGTACCATCCTACTCTCGTATACTACCTTTATTTAACTTACTCTTATAAGCAAAACGTAGACCTATGCTAGGACCTCGTTCATTCGGAATCTTATTTATGGTGAAGTGGGGAGAACCGAGTTACTCGGTAGCCTACACTTTAATGTGCCAAATACATTTATTAGAAACTATATTCCACTGGTTTTATATAACGAAGATGTTCGTATGACTTCGTCATGGGACTTCGGGTCTTTTTTACTCAGCTTCGGCGCGCTTTTTTGCTGCTGCGGCAGAGATTATCAGTGCAAAACAGAGAAAAGTCAGGCTTCAGAGCGTTGCGCGCCACCCTGCAAGCATTTTCTATCGCGGAAGGCTCTATTAAGTGTCTTCAAGAAGATGAAAACGATCGTCCGCGATATCGCATATCGATCCGAATGCGATATCGCCGAAGTAACTTCTGGAAGTGTCGCCGAAGTCACTCATAGAAGTGCCGCCGAAGTGGCACATTTCTTCCCGATGGGAGTCACTTCCGCGATCCGATTGCGATATCGCCGAAGTAACTTCTAAAAGTGTCGCCGTAGTCACTTCTGGAAGTCACTCCGAAGTGACTTTACATTTGCTTGTAGAAGATATCCAGAAGAGTCTTTCCCAATTGGAAAAACTTGAATAAAAACATATTTTTTTATACTTTCAATATTTTCATTTATATTTATGAGGGATTTGTCCGCTTGTATACAAGGTCACTGGCATGTAGGAAATTTTGCTGATCAATGTTATTTAGGTCCAGCTCCGTCGACATAAGAAATTTATTAATAACCATTTCTAAAGGAAACCGAAACCAAAATTATTTTTTGCTCAGTCAAGGTAAAAATAAACTAGAAGACATTACCTTTTACAATGAAATATGTTGAGAATCGTTGGATCCGCAGTTACACGCCAAGTAATGTCCACAGCTAGCTTGTCCGTAAATAGCTTTAAATAATCGTACAGCTTACGATAAGCACTTAATTTCGCACCCTTTGTTGAGGGGGATATTTAAATATGTTAAGCAATCAATATAATTTAGAAAAAACAAAGCAATATTTTTAAAACGCACAAAATTGATACAAAACCGCACTGTACACAGACAAATCGCGCAACGAAATGACGCTCAGGCGCAAAATAATAGCGTGGGTCAAAAGAAAGGCCAAACAATTTTCAGAAAAAAGGGGTAACGGAAAATTACCGCGACCTCTTTTTATGTCTTGTTTTTTTTCCATTAATTTTGTTTTTGTAAAATGTGTACTATCGTCTATCTATCGCGCAGAAGTGACTTAAAAGTTACTTCTACGCGACACATGTATATTTTGTTTTTGTAAAATGTGTACTATCGTCTTTCTATCGCGCAGAAGTTACTAAGAAGTGACTCCTGGACGACAGGCGATAGAAATATCGCCCTTTTGCTTGCAGGGTGTAGGTCTAATTACGTCATGCATGAAGAATTTTTGAGTACTTTTCAATGATTATAATAGATTATATCACCTAACTTCGACTACCACCATAAAACAATAATATTATCCTAGACTAGCAGCTAATTAGTATTATTATACGTATCTTGACTATTTGTATTTTGTCTTGCATGTGTTTTAATTGTCTATTGTTATAATAGATTTACCTATGGCCGCTATTTCGTTTTAAAGCCCAACAGGGAATAGGGCTCCGCGCGTAAAAAGAATTGCTTGGTGTCGTAATGCAGTTATTCCATGCAATTGTTCGGCTCATTTATTAAAGCAATTTTTCCTTAGACTATACAATTTTACGAAAGTGCGAGCAAGACAGACATATGTAAGCTTTAATCGGCACTTAACGAGCAAAATCGACAAAATTTCCTCTATAATTTAATACTTGCACCGATAGGCCAATGAGCAAAATTGTATCTTAAAAGTAAATTTTGATCATTTAAGAGCATTAGAGCTGCAGTGTCGAGTATAAAAACGAATATTATGATTTTTGCCTGTTTTTTTTCAGCTTCTTGCAGCCAAGCAGCGTTTAATCTATTCTGTTGGGACCAAGAAATAACACTGCTACTTATTAATGAAGACCTTGCTATATAATAACATTCAGGAAGAAACTATTAATTGCCTATAATTTTGTACCTATTTAGAAGTTCATAATTATCATCTAGTTAAAGTTAGTTAAGTTTTAAAGTTTAAAGTAAACGTTTAAATGCTAATGTGACCATGCCTGCTTTGTCCCTTTTTAAGCCTCTAATAAATGTTGTAGTGAATGAGCTAAGCAATGCCGTGGAATAACCGCATAATGGCCAAATGTTTGAACTGAGTGCATCAACTACCGAAAATCTTTAAAAATGTTACCTCTATACAGACTTTAGCGTTGTGGCCGTTAGAGTGGGCGTGACACAAGCGGATCACAAACTACAAACTAATTTCGGTTTCTATGCGTACAGTTTTAATGGCTGAATTTTTGGCTCCGCCTCTTGAATTCATTAATAGCGACTACAAAGATATGTTGCATAAAGAAAGGTTGTAACGCGATCTACTAGTAATATGTGTATTTAATGACAGAAATCGAATCATCAACTCGAGATAAGAAATAAAATAGGTACGATATCAGGCTAAATCCTTTTTCAGCGCGGTACTTAGATGAGCTAGGGAAATGCCAGAAAATATACCACATTTAGCGAGTGAATTTCAATGAACGCCGTTAGCCGCGGCCCGAAGAATAAGAAATTTTATCTTTGGCGGTGTTCGTGCAAAAGCGGTGTGGAAATTATAAAATTAAAATGGAAGGAAAACCCAAAAATCGACTGCAGGAGGTCAGCGAAGATAAAAAAAGAGCTCCTATTCCAAGCTGTTGTATATTATTGTCGGACTTCACCGACAGGAAGCAGTACCACAACAGGGAAAGCCCGCAAAATAGTTGAAGTGCTGAAGGAGATCCACTAGAGGATTTCAGTTTGAAGGAACATGCCTAGTATAACTACGCTCCCTACATGGACATCCTGCCGGGCGTGTCCTCGCAATGAAAGTAAGTTCGGGCCAAAAGAATTTGGTTACGTTGTACTAATAGAAGTATCTTTTTATCAAAACTACCAGAATCCCAATCCGGCTCTCACTGGCGAAGCATCCGTAGGACGAAAAGGAAGATTTACACTGCGAATTTACATAAATAAAAACATTCGTTGAACATTCCATTTATTTTTGTTTTAATTGCTTTGTGCACCAGCAGACTGTGCTTTTTTAAATTGCTCCAATTGGCTTAAAAATCAATACCGTTGGTATAAATGAAATTGACCCTAAATTCGTCAAAATTCTTCTACCTCGTTTAATAATCATTATAACTCACATTACCAATAGCTCTTTAATGACATCAACATTTCCAACACAATGGAAAACGACGAAAATCTTACCAATTTCTAAAAAATAACGATTGCAGGGCCTATCTATCCGTTTGCCCTATTTTTCAAAAGTATTCAAAAATCGGATGGTGAGTCCGATAGCTATATTTATGGAACACATGCGAATCAATCCGGTTTTTAAGAAGCACGGAAGCATAGGGCGAATCTGTTGTTATAAGATGTCCCTAGTTGTTCACGGCTCTTAATGGGGCAGTTTAGCTTCGGTTTATTTCGCTTGATTTTAACATAACGATCCATGTCAGTCTGTATAGCCGGATCCACTTGTTGTATTTTGTTAAAGCCAATATTGGTCCTCGTACTTACAATTGGATTTGTAACTTTAACGGCGTTGCAAAATTGACAACGCTTCCGGTATCGAGCTGTTGGTGACGGTGACCTTTGTTAATAGGTAAATTGACGTGAATTTCCATAAACCAAGAACTATGAGCTTACCTTTTAATAATACTATTTGTTGAAATTAACGCAAATGCAATTTAGATCAGCTTTCTGGCCGACGCTGCACAGTGGTCGGACTTGTATGGAAGTATGCGACAAAAATAGTTGCGCTTGACTTACAGGTCTATAATTTTAACCGTATGCTTATAAAATTACCAGAATACTATTTTCAAAAAATGGGCATGGTCATAAGCCCCTACGCCTTTCCACAGCTATTTATGTAAATTAAATTATTCAATTAAAAGTAAAAGCAATTTTTAAGTGCATTGTTTTTAATTTATTTGTATTTAAATGATAAGTAATAAATAAAATCGTGAAAATAATTGTTTTAAAAACATTTGTTGATCAAATAACATAACCGTGTTTCCATCGTTTTATTAGCCACTACCACAAAACGTTGGTCTGTCAACTATTAGCCCCATTTGGATCCTGCGTTTTTGTATCTGCAGATTGTCTGTATCAATCGCAGATCTGACTTGCCACGATATTACGTCTAAACGATATGATACATGGAGAAAATATTCAAAAAATCGTATGTAAGCGTGTAGAGGTGACAAACCGTTTTTTGTGAACTTTTTTGCTCTAACAGTTTTCTATATTGTTCATTTCAATTGGCTTGACTTCGCATATATAACATTTTGTTGAAGACGTTCCACTCAATACATTGCAAACTTTAACGTCCACCATTGTGAGTTGGAGATAATTGGATAATTTCCTTCAAAAGTTGTGTTAACTAATTTCTCTATTTGCGCTTTTTATAATTCTCCTCATTATCATCACCAATTGAGTAGATTACTTTTTTAATTGAAACCTTATTGGTCTACAAAACTGAGTCGATGATGGCCTTTCATGATGGTTTCTTCCATATAATTATTGGGTTTGGCGACTATGTCACCAGTTGGAGAAGCATTTAAGAAGTGACAAATATTAAATTGTCTCCGAATTTTTATTGAAAAACCTGCTTGTATTCGCTATGACCTGTGCTACCATCCAAAACCCCATTTTTCAATCAAGGTGAGTGTCTTCACTGAAACGCTTTTGATTTCATTGACAACATCCGTTTGAAGATTTAATAAACGTGATGCTGTATGATCAAGTGGGTTTTATAATTTAGCTTGAGCATCCGATTCCATTACTTTAACGTTACTTGGATGGCTAAATTTCTTAGCATGTAAAACATTATCATAGCTTGCTAACAAGTTGTGCGGAAGCTTCGAATTGACATAACGTCGAATCAGTGAATATTGATTTTTGGTTAAGTTTGCATCCATTAAAAGACCAACCACTTCTTTAGCATCTGCTTCAAAATAACTTAGGCGTTCTTTTTTGGGCAGTGTTCCGTAAAGCATTTGCAGGGGACTTATCGATATCAGATATTTTCGACTCGGCGAACTCAGTTTTTGGACGCCTGCGATTTTTAGCATCTTTCGACTTTTCGGGTTTTTCTATTACCTTGAAGCTCTCTGCAGAACACGCACGGCTGCAGTTTTGCGTTGCAGCGACTCCAGGAGGTTGATGCCTTCGGGCTCCAGTAACGCAGTTAGGAACTCTTTAATTTTGTTGGTAGCTCCAACGAAGTTTTTTGCATTGTCACAGTAGATGTGTTGCTGCTATCAACGCCGGGCAATGAACCTTCGAATGCAGGACAAGAAAGAATTAGTTCTAAGCTCAGAAACTGGATCGATGTGGGTAGCTTTCGTCGCAAAGCAAACAAAGATTGAAGCGTAAGTTTTATAGGGTGGCTTGCATCGAATTTTGTACGAGGTCAGGAAGGGCCCGCAGAACTCATCTCCTGACACCAGATATGGGCGCTCGCCGTACAGTCGATTCGAAGGGAGATTTCCCATGATGTGTGACATGAGACGAGGCTTGTAGTGGAAGCAGTGAGTGCATTCCAAACCTCCTCGCGAAGTAACGAAAGCAAAACCCTCGCTCCTGCGTGTAATGTGGAACGATGGATGAATTCGGCGTACAACCTGGTAAAGCGATGTTGCTGATTATGATTTAGCTCGTTCGCCGACACGTGAACTACCTCTCGAACAGTTGAATTTCTAGCTGCAGGGATCCTGTTAAACACTCGATAAACAAAGGAAAGGGTACGCAAAGTACGAAAGTATGATGATAATCGGTTGATAAGATCATCTATAACGCTAGGTATCACAATATTACTCGAAGGATTATCATAAAGGGGTGGATTCAATGGATTAGGCAGGCATGGCCATTCGCTTTCCGACCCTTTCAGGAAGTCGGGTCCCGTGAACCACATTTTGTGCTGAAGGTCCTTTACTGAGCATCCTCGGGATATGGTGTCTGCGGGATTTTTGCTTGTTGATACGTAGCGCCATTCGACGTCGTGTGTGTATGACTGCAGCTCAGAGATCCTGTCAGACTCGAAAGTTGGCAATTGAGATGAATGCATTCCAAGCCACTGTGGAACGGTCTTTGCGTCGGTCCAAAAATATACCTTTGAGATGTAAGGCTTGAGCTTGTGTTTAAGTTGGTACGTTCTGTTAAGCAGTGCCGCTGCCCAGAGTTCCAGCTTTGGGATCGACAAGGGTTGAATCGGAACGAGTCTTGACTTTGCAACTAGTAAGCTGGTCGTTTCGACGCCATTGATTACACTGCGAACGTAAGGACAACATCCGTATCCACGTTTGCAGGCATCTGCAAGCCCGTGAAGCCCACTCTGGTATTTGTGTAAGGTTGATACAAAACGTGGCAGTTTTTCCGTTCTCTGTTCACTGTTTTTCAAGTTGCCCCATACGATACCAAGATCGTTGGGAATCAGTTCATCCCACGAAAGCTTCCGCATAACTAGATCATGAATAAACATTTTGCAATTCATGATGATGGGGGCGGTAAGTCCAAGCGAGTCGAATATCCGAAATACTTCAGAAAAGACCGTCCGTCTAGTAGAAGTCTCAGAAGTCGAATTTGAATTGGAAAATGAATACATCGTCAGATGGTTGCCATGCTAATCCAAGCATTTTCGTTGATTTTAATTCTTCCAGCTGCATTGAAACCTTGCCGTCTGATGAATTGCCCAATATTGATGAACTGCTATTGAATTTGGTCATCGTCAATCCGGCCTTACCTAGTAGGTTTGAGACTTCCTATTTCTTTTGTAGTGCGGTGTGCAGATCATCTGCTTCTGTTAAAAAATCTACATATAGATCGGTTCGTATTACTGTGGCTGCGAGAGGATAATCTAGCTCGTTCAAATTGACTATATGAAGCAAAATACCAATAGCGAGAAAAGGAGATGCTGAGACAACGTAGGTTACCGTATTCAGCTGATATACCTGTAGAATGTCAGTATCGTTCTCTCTCCAGAGAATATGCTGAAATTTCTGTCCCGCTCGTCGACTAAAAATTGACGGTACATCTTTGAGATGTCACCTGATAAGGCGTAACGATGGAGGCGAAATGAAAGAAGTGTCGTAATTAAGTCTTGTTGGATGGTATTGTATTGTAAGTATTGAGTTCAACGTTTTCGCGCTGGTATCAAACACTACTCGTAGTTTTGTGGTCAAGCTCTGCTACGGCACACAGTGGTGGGGAATAAAGCAATGGAGCTTTCCCTTTATCAATGCTTTTCATGAGTGACATGTGCCCTGTGGTAATGTATTTACGTATAAATTGAACATGAGATTCTTTTAAGGAGGCATCTTTGTTTAATCTACGTTCAAGTAGGAAGAAACCTTTGGCGGCAGTGTCGTACGATTGACCTAATGCTTGCGGTGATTCCTTAAATGGAAGTCGAACTGTAATGCGATTGTCAGAACCAATGGCAACGGTGGTTTCGTAATGCTGTTCACAGACCCTTTCTTCTTCGGTAGACGTTTGTCGTGGCGTTTGATAATCCTCTACCTTCCAAAAATGTGAAACAATTTCATCTAGAGATGTAGGTAGGTAGTAGGTAACATTAAACTTCCACCAATAACCCAACCAAAGCTCATATTGATGAGCGTGGGCATATTTGTACCCATCGTGCACTTTCCAACTCGGATGTCTTCGTAGAATCCTTCAATTCCGATCAGAATGTCTATCTTTCTGGGTAGATAGAAAGTTGGATCAACTAGGACGATCCCCTCTGGCAAGTTCCATTCGGTGACATCAAGGCCGCTACTAGGTTGCTGTGCACAAATGGATGCGATCACTGAGAAATTCGATGTCCTTTTAAAGTCCGAAACTCATGATTTGTGGGTGGTGTGTACGTTGTAATTGATTTGCCACGAGGTGTCCGAAATACCACTGATAGCTTGACTGACGCGGCATTTTGATAACTTCAGACGTTTGGCAGTCTCCTCCGTGATCAAGTTTAACTCCGACCCTGAGTCTAACAACGCTCATACTAACTGAAACTGACCGGTTCCATCCTTGATTTGGACTACCGCTGTTGGTATGAGACTCTTTCTTGCGGTACGTGCTAGAAGAGAAACCTGTGGGGCTCCTGGCTGAAGAGCTGCTGCCTGACTATGATGCGAAACCGTTGAAATACCTCTGATAGATGCGGTATGATCTTGTTTGGTTGAGAATTCATGTAGAAGAGTGTGATGTGCCGTTGGGCAGACCCTGCACCTTGAATTCGACGGGCACTCGTCTACGGTGTGAGATTTTCGTGAACAGTTGAAGAAGAGGGATGCCTTTTTACGTGTTCCTTCCGTAAAGCTAAGTTTAATTTAGCAAAGGACTTGCAGAGAGATATGTATGGTTAGCTGAGTTGCAGTAAACGCAGCTGGCCTGGGTAGTAACAAATGACTTTGACGGCGACCTTTGAGAGAACCAGGGTGATCATAATCGCATTCATAATATCATTCGCACTGCCCAAATATAAGAGAGACCCTCAAATAGCTGACGATGTATCGATTAGACACTGAAGTTCTTCCGCATCTGCCTTGACGATCGCTGGTTGGTTAAACAGATTGGTAATGGAGTCTAGAAAGATAAGTACGCTATTAAAGCTCCTTAAGTCGATCAAATGCCTTGGAGTAATTATCGTCTGATACTTGATACGCCCTTACTACTTTAAGTGCTGGTCCTGACAAACAATTTAACAAATAATTGAATTTGTCGATCTCAGGAATAAATGGATCACTGTGTACAAGATTTATGAATGCGCCCTCGAATCGTTTATAATTGCTGTAGGTACCGTCGAAGTGTGGCAACTTTAAACTCGGCAGTCGGGAGTGGTGCGTGCTTGTAGTTGTGTTGAGAAAACTAGAGTAGTAGAAGCTAGAGCGCCGTAGTTTGTTGATAGGTGATTTTAATTTGCTTTTTGTTTCTACAAATAACATTTCGCCTACGTCGCGTCCGTCATCGTCGAAATCTAACTCTACGATTCTGCTTTGCAACTGAGATTGCTGTTGAAAGTATGACTCGAGAATTTGTACAATGCAGTCCAGAGATTAAGCTGTTTCCTTTGAGTTGAGTAGAGGGAATCAAAACCTAAAGTTCAGCTCGGCGTTAGAAATTGACAAATGCGTATACACAAATTTCAGCAAAAGCTCCCTGAGCAACGGTAAAGCTTATGCATGCACAGATTTATTTTCAGTGGTATGCGAATAAGGCGACAGAGATAAATAAAGAGTATGCAGTGTGTATGTGTGTGTGTGTGTGCGCTGCAACGTAGTTCTTCGTCCGCTTAGCTGTGTGGATGTTGGCCACGGCACGTTGTTGCAAATCGCTGATTGGGAGAGGGATGAGGAGTTATGTAATCCTGGGCGCTTTGGTGGTCCAGCGATGATCCGGAGTGTGGTTGACCTGTGCTCAAATAGGCGGACAATGCTTCTGATGTCTCTCCGTTGATTCCGTTGATGATGTACTTCTTCGATGTTTCGTTGCCGCTGAAGTCGCCCGTTGGTTCCCGGTGCGATGCGATAGACACTTAAATGAAATCTACGAGGGGAGGTCCGATAAGTACTTAGCCTCAACGCCCGATGGCGTCACTATCGCTAGAGAAATTTACTCTCGTGTAGAACATTCTGGTTGACGGCTACTGTAGAAATTTCTGCCGAATCGGACGCGTAGTTTTGTTTTGACTGCGTGTGGAATCGAACGTGTCCGCGGATTTTACAAAAATGGAGAAAGAGCCATATCGGTCTGTGATTCGATTCTTGTTTTTGGAAGGGAAATCGCACAGCGAAATCAAAGAACGCTTGCATGCTGTGTACGGTGACTTTTCTCCTTCGATGGCGACCGTCAAAAATTGGTTTAACGAGTTTCAACGTAGTCGCACGTCGGTTTTTGATGAGCCACGCCCAGGTGTCGAAAACGGCTACCACGGAGGATAACGTGACAAAAATCCACGATCTCGTATTGGCAGACCGCCGATTGATGATACGCGAGATACATGCCTACCGTCATGTCAAAAGACCGCGTCGGTCATATCCTCATGAAATTTTGGGCATGAGAAAGCTGTCGGCGCGATGGGTGCCGCGTTTGCTCACTCCGGACAACAAACGCAACCGTGAGACCACTTCAGAGTAGTGTTTGACGCTGTTTAAGCGCAATCCGAAGGAGTTTCTGTGTCGTTTCGTGACCGTCGCCGAAACATGGATCCACTGGTACACAACAGCGACCAAGGAACAGTAAAAACAGTGGGCTCCACCCGTCGAACCTGCTCCGAAGAAGGCGAAGACTGTCCCATCGGCCGGAAAGGTGATGGCCACCTTTTTTTGGGACTCACAAGACAAGGTGTGATCTACATCGACTACCTGGAGAAGGGCAAAACGGTCACAGGTCCATTTTTGACTGCGTCCTGTCACGGTCGCCAAAATGTTCGATCGCTCCCGAGCTTGTTATTGTTCACTGGGCGCAGTAAAAGAATGAAGATTAAACGGTTGAATTTGGTTGCAGATAAGTGTTAGAAAAAGACGCGTTCGGTGCGTGCCAAAATCAAGTGCAAGAACTGCAAGAGTTGCGGTAGGTCAGCTGATAAGCCACGCTTTTTGCAACACTAGAACACAGTAGTTGCGATGCGTTAGCTACAGATTACAGAGTTACCACATAGTAACAATAGGTATTTTTTATATTACGTTAGCTTTGAACTGTGTCCAGACAGTAGCTTAGCGGAACCCAATTGAGTAAAAGCTGCTAACACTCCTAGAAAGGGATATTTGTTGTTTAATTTTTGCCGCTCAAATTGGATTGAAAATGGCGTGCCTTTATTAAGCAGCAAGATGTGAAAAAATATTAAAAATTGCGTGCCTTTACTAATAAGCACGAAGTGAAAAACTATTTAAATAAGAGGAGGCCTAAAACGAGAGCCCAACTACATAAATGAAGGGGGCCAAGAAAAAGGTATGGCAGTTGAAAGCCTCCTGTTCCGCGTCGACCGATTGCAAGAGTTGTAAGGAACAAACCGGCAACAAGTCTTTAAGGAATTCCATATACTACTGGCAGGTGCAGCCACTAATGGTACTGGCAACTAATAGAGGACAAGGTAGAAGACTACGATTTTGACTACTATTTACACAGGAGATGAAACCAGAGTTTTGCTCTACCGGAAGCGACCTTATGAAAGTCAAGAAATTAATGGAACGCAAGCAAGGGCATACCGGCAGTCAAGTAAAAGCTCTAGTCTGGTATAAAAGACCTTAGCCGATTAGAGAAGAGAGGAGGACCGAACCACCGCTGCCAGTGAAATCAAAGAACGTGGTGGGGATCAACCATAAGAGCGACATTCGACATACTGTGATGTCTGTTAAGATGTACGAGCCATCCGCTCAGAGGAGTAGTGACAAATAGCATAATTTGGGAAAAGTAATGATGCAATAGAAATGTGTTATTCAAACCAATCAAAAGTAAACTTATGCATAGGCAAAGGCCGATAGCCCCATACAAATCAATTTGAGAAAAAATGAAATTAAAAACAATAAAAATGTATTGAAATACACTAAAATAAATCGAATTGATAGACAAAGTGCGAATCATGATAAGCAACTAGAGAAGATTGGTCTCTCCACTGTTGTTGAAGACGTCGCATGCCTCTGGAATAAAATATATATATATTTCTTGTTTAAGTACATAAGTAGAATGAAGAACAGCAGTATTTTTGGAAAAAGAATTCAAAACCTTGATATGGAGTAGGCTAACAACAATGACATAACTTTCGACGGACAACCTTGACAATAGGGGATCGTTTTGCACGGCCCGCGACGATCCATTTGGCACACGAACGCGTTAAGGGAAGGGAATATGGTCGAAATACCGCCCCATCGTACTACGAGCAAGCGAGAGCGAAGCTTCGTAATTTAAAAGGTAATAACAAATTTCCTTTCAATATTCGCTTAGAGCAGCTGATTACACTAGATTACAAAACAATATTTTGAAAGTGCCCCAAGAAGAATGACGGTAGTTCTTGGATCATAAAATAGAAAGCTAAAAAAGTGATGTAATCTATGGACAATTCTAAGCAATATTGCCAAAGAAACTTTGTCTTTTTAATCAGGTTTGACCCTCCCTGTTTGAAAAGAAAAATATTCAGTATTTGGTTAAAAATATCTTAAAATTGATACATTGATATGGACGTGCAAAACGTCGAAACGGAATCAATGGGCAATTTTAAGGAAAAAAAAAATTATTTTTCTTTTGCAATTGCGGAGGGTCAAACGTGGTTTTCGACACATAGTTTCTTTGGAAAAATTGGTTATAAGTGCACCTATGTTGTGTCACCCAAAACGATTTACAACTCTTTTCGTGTCAATACCAATTTTCAGAATTCATGACTTCTAAGATATTTTTGTAAACTTTGTAAGTTTGCCAGACGAGAATTGTGAACGCATTTATTTTAAAATATTGTTGCAGGAAATTAACGTACAAAAGAAAGCCAACTTTTAAGTTTTTGTATTGCTTTATGTATTTGTTAAAAAATGTAAAGCTGAAAGTGTTGTAAAGAGTGGCCTACGCAAGATTTGCGTTTTAAAATCGCTATAAAAAAGCAACGAGTTTATATTTTTCAACTTTTTTTTTTATTGGATAGCCTCAACATTGCGGTTTATGTATGAAACACCACTTCGTTCATATGGCTGCCTCGGCTGGCTTTACAGTAGCCCATTCGGTCGACCCAATTGCTAAACACATTTTCGATGGCCCTCAATGGCTTCAATCTCGTGCTTTAAGTCGTCAATCGTCTCTGGGTGGTTGGCGTAACACTTATCCTTCACGGCACCCCACAAAAAATAGTCCAACGTGGTCAAATCGCAGTTGCGTGGCGGCCAGTTGACATCGCCGTTTCGGCTGATTATGCGATTTTCGAACGTACCGCGCAAAAGATCGATTGTGACGTTGGCTGTGTGGCACGTAGCGCCGTCCTGCTGGAACCATATGTCGTTTATGTCTTCCTCTTCCATTCGGGGAAAGAAAGAATGAAAAAAATTCCAACATTCCGCGATAGCGGACACCATTAACGGTTACGGCGGCTTCTTCCTCATTTTCAAAGAAAAACGGCCCAAAAAACGGACTCTCCACTTTGGAAGGAAGTTTTCAATATTTCCCAATTTTCTTCGAGCGTAAACTTAACCATTTCGTAAACCGCAAACCTTCTACTAAATATCTGACACATTGACAATGACAATCGAAATGTCAAAGTCAAAATGATCGATAGTTCAAAAAGCAAACGCTAGATGGGCCACCCTATATATGTCTGCATAGCACAACCCAAAATTCCACGTAAAAGTGTAAAGGATATAATGGTGGAATGGGTCATAAACAATGCTGTGCTTGATATTGAAATGACTGAAGGTATAGGTAAAAGAGCTATACATTTTTTGCGTAAATAAATTTAAACAATTGTAAATGCTAGTCCGAGGGATCAAGTGGTTGAAGAAATTGAAGAAATGATGTAGACCCTTAGTTATGATATTAGTCTTATTCAGTCGTTTCGAAGATGAGACTTTTTTCGGATTAAAAATCCCATGATTGACGAGATAACGTCCTGAGGTGAGCTCTTTTAGTAATGAACGTTTTAAGAAAATGTTAAGGGTGTCCAAAGATCAGTTTTTAATTTTGTTGGATCTAATAAGAAACCACGTAATATTTTAATCGACTGGAACCAAAATGACTTGCAACTAGCAATAGTTTTGTTTCGACTGGACTCGTCAGGGAACAGCTCTTCCGTAAGAAAAATCTCTACAATATTTGGGGTCGGTGATGGTTGGACGTTAGCACCGTTCACGGAACGAGTGTTTACTGCCATTTTGCGACTTTCAAGGCCTAAAAGAGAAGAACGCGAGGAGAAAGTTTCATAAACCAAATCATGAAAGGTTGGCCCTACTGCATTGGCTATATTGATGGCAGCGAAATAAAACTATTTGAAAAGCCTCCAAAAATCGCAAATATTCTGTAAAGATGCAAGCTGTATGTGACCACAAACTCCGAATTCGAAATGTTGTAATAGGAAGTCTCGGTTGCTACCACGACTCTAAAATTTTTAAAAATTCAATAATTGGAAAGCACCTTAAAAAACATTTTTGTGGAAATCAGTGGATTGCAGGCGAATCTGCCTACCCACTTTCGCTAGCCGACATCTCAGCCCAGGTATCTCTTTGCGATTGGGTTATGGTGTGCTGTGTAATTTATAACATTTTGCTGACTGATCACGATATACCGGACCAACACGAGCATCTAAATAAGTTCTAGAACAGCAATGAACCAGAAAGAGGAAATACCCGAAATTCTGTTGCCGCCGAAAATAAAAGGAATAACTTGTACCACCTGATGTTTGAACAATAAACAAAATCTTTTTTTTAAGATTTATTTTTCATTTCAAACTCCATCTTTAAAATTCGCTAATTTCACTTCCAGTGTTTTCAAATCGTTGTCCAAGCGCTTTTTCGGTTGTCTAGTTCTATGGCCAACATAAACTTCTCCCTTTCCAGAGCAAGCATATCCTGCCTAAATTTCATTCTTTCAGAGTCCATTTCTATTAGTTTCGCCATTGCAGTTTTGTCTGTCTTCCGTTTAGATTTACCTTCAACGGACAGATCCGAAGCGATATCTATATCAACTTTTTTATTTATTATTTTCGCCAACAGTTGGTACCTTAACTGGCTACTTGTCTATTACTAAACTAAA